AGGTGATATGCATTCAATGGCACCATAATTCTAGGATTTAATCAATTTGTATTTATGTATTGTATTATATATATTATGTCCACATCAGTTAAGTTTCTGCGTTAATACTGTGTTAATACTTCTATATATATATTGTTTACAAAACAGCAAGATTGCAGATCAAGTAGGACATACACCTTCCTTAACAAAGAGGACGTTCAACTACTTGCTACCAATCTTATAATAGTGCTAGAAGTCGTGCGGAGCCTCAAATGCTCTATAGTTTATTCATATATATCATCTATTGAGATTTTGAACTTGTTCTTTTCATAATAAGGATAGCCAGAGTGGAAGGATTTCTCTACGAGAGCTTTTTAAAAGATGGTTCTATTTTGGTTGCATCGTCATCTCTACGGTACTGATTCAACTTCTAAGAGTGCAATTTTGAGGCAACGGAACAAGCAAAAGGTATTGAGTTGAATATTTTTTTTTACAATCGACCTATTTTTTTTTATTTCACTCAAAATCGACATGCAGTAAGGAATTAGAGAAATTTGTTGGTGGAATCAAACTAATAGGAGGTGATAAGAGGAAATCAAACAATTTTGTGTGTTGACGGACTGTGGAAGGAATTGATTAATTTCCTTAATTCATTGCATGTTGAGAAAGTTTGACTAATGTTTTTATTGAGTTATTTTTTTTTTATTAAACAAAGTGATTGATTCCATTTTAGTTCTGAAATTCTTATGAAAGATGGAAGTGATGGTATAATAGATCTCAAAACATCATAACCTCTGAATTTTGAAGGATTTGATGTTTCATCATTGAATCATATTAAGAATAGATTTATTTTTTATGAAATTAGTTCTAATTTGTAGAATAATCTCATAATTGAATTTTCTATATTTGCATTTTTTTTAGCCGAACTAGTTTTTGTTATCTTATTGAATGGAATTAATTTACTTTATTTAAAAGTTTTGGAAGCATTCAGGGCGGTAATTGGAGAATTGAGTTCAACAATTGAGACTGAACTTGGAATTTTGAGCTAAATTGGAATTGCAACTTCGAATTTATTTTCTTTACTTAAGTTTTACTTGTCAAATAAGGTATTCAAATTCAAATTCAAATTGAACTTAGGCTCAAATTTTAATATCAAGCTATAATTTTAATAAAATCTTTTATAAGAACAAGTTGATCTCAAACATAAGCTTGAACTCGAAACCAAGTTTGTTTACATAAAATAAATATGTTACAGGGAAAAATAAATAAATGAAGAATTATATCAATCCTTGAGCTTAGCTTGTTTCTTTTATCAAGTGGATTGCAAGCTTGATTTTTGCCAATCATGAGTGGCTCAGCTCATTTTCACCTTAGGAGCAGATATCTCCACTCAAATTCTAGATGCTCTGTGTGCTTTTTAAGAAGTTGATATGGACCATTCTTTGGGTTTGGATTTGGCATTTGGGGATTTATGGGTACAAGGGTTCGAAATGATTTGGGATGAAAGGTTTTAAACAAAGGAGAGGAAGCAAGAGGGAAGGCAGTGATGAAACTCTGGGGTTGCCCCACTGAGGGGTGAATCCTCTCAAGCTTACAGAGAGAAGTTCTTGTCTCAAGGGAGAGCTTGGTTGTTGTTTGCTGTTTAATATCAACTATTGTTATGGTTAATCAACAAGTAGTCTAATAGTAATTTTCTTTTCCAAAATAAATGTTCTAGATTTGAGTCACTAGATATGGGTGGCAGTATTTGTAGTATACTTTAAATATTTGTATTAAACTTTATGATGTTATTACTGTTATTTTTGCAAGGTAAAACGACATATACACGCACAAACAACTTTACTGAAACTTTAAACTGTTTTTTGTTCAATTGTCTGGGCAGAGAAAGTCTGCAATGAAAAATCTGAAGGCTGGCTTCCGAAGGCTGAAAGCAGAGATGCAAGAGATCAGTAAGGAACAACAAAGCATCAAGGAAGGACAAAAACAAGTGAGAGAAAAACTTGAAGACATTGAAGCTGAATGTGCACAACTCAGGAAGGATACAGACATCATGATCAGGCAGAGTGCTGCGAACAAGCTTAATCTGTGTCTCATGTTCAAAATCCTTAAGGCCCGTGAAGAAGGCGATTTTCTTAAGGCCACCCAGCTTGCTCAATTGCTTCGGTTTGTTTAGTTCCTCAATCATCATCTTGTTCCTTCTGCTTTTCCGTGCTGAAGTGAAAAGTAAATTCTGCTTGACATTTTCATTTTACTTTATCTATTTTGCAGCACAATATTGAGCAGGCAGAATGAGCAAAGGCAGGGATGTACGTAATGGACAAATAAGGAACAAAGGCACGGGTAACTATATAATGGACAAGCAAGGAATAATTATCAGTAGGATTAAGCTAGTTGTTATTATGTTCTATCTTCCCTTTTTTTTTATATTTTGGTGGAACCTGATGCTGTGTTGTTCTGGCTATCGTTAAACTCAGTGTTCTCCGTTTCCAGTTTTATTGTGTTGTATTGCAGACTTAATATTTATTGAACTTTATTTATGGTTGTCATGTTAGAATGATTCACTGTTTTAAGCGCCAAGGAGAGTTAATCTTTCCAGTTCAGAATGTATGATAGAGTTTACATATTTAAAATGTAATTTACATCTCGCTTGAATGAACTTTCTCAAGCAACAAATCTCATCGTTTTCTTGGAAACGCTACAAACTTCTCGCGGGGTTTGCAGCAAAGCTTCCCTGGAAAGTTGCAGACTTCTCAATTTGAAGCAACAAGGCCATAATAGAATTTTCTACTTCTGTGGGCCTGTGTCTGTGGGGGTGTACCATGTACCTTATCTTTGTTCAATTTTAATTGTGGTGTTGACTATCAATACCTTGTCGACCACGATAATCCTCCAGTCAATGAGTCTTCATCATAAATATAAATATTTTACATTTTCCAAACTTTCTGGAGGAAATTTTTTTTTTGAAGGATTTTTGGAGGAATTATTTACATCATTATATGTTTATATATGAGTGTCTACGTAGGCTTTGACAACGACAGACATGATATCATTTATGTTAATAGAAAAGGAAATATTTCTCACAAGATTTGATCATTGCTTACCATTTGCCACCTAATAAATTAGTTCTTTTTTGCCATTTTAATCTTATATTTACTTTGGTCATTTTTAGTTATTTTAATTTGATTTTTATATAGGGTTAAATTAAATAATTTTATATAATAGATAAAAAATAATATAATTTTTTTATAAATAGTTTTTATTGTGTATTTTTACTTAAATAAACAATTTTTTAATTATCACATTCATTTATTATATAAAATTATTTGATTAAATTTTATATAAAAATTAAACCGAAACAGCTAGATCTGAGTGAGTGAATGTGGTATATATTTGGTTAAAATATTAAATTGGTCCCTCAACTTTTAAATTTATATTAAAATTATTTTTTAACTTAAAAAAATCAAAATTTTCCTTAAATTTTAATTTATGGTACCAAAATATTCCTCAAACTATGAGATAATACCAACTAAATCCTTGAACTTTGAAGGCAAAATACCAACTTAGACTTGAATTTTAATTACAAATATCAATTTAATCTTTCAATTGTGATTGTATATTAATTTAATATGTAAATAAAAATATACTACACTAACAAAATATAACTGCTTAATTTTATATGTCATTAGTATTTAAAAAAAAAAAAACTGATTTTGTAATAAAATAATAAGCTATGTGGCACTTTTACTAACTAAAAGACCTTTTTGATATTGAAAAATAAAATTTAGAGATAATTTTGATACAAATATGAAAGTTGAGGAATCAAAACAGTATTTTAACCTATATATTTCGATGAGTCCGTCAAAGCTTGCTTGCCCAACACCCCAAGAACATTCTGCGCATTTGAAAAACCAACTTAGAAGTTTCTTCTACGAATCCACCTTGCCCAATTTTTCATCTAAATTATTTGGCGTGTAAAAGACAGCGGTTTGAATAATTTATGCTATATATATACACAGATCAGCTCATTGGAATTATGTTGGCAGAATACAATCGGATATCTGCTAATTACTAATTCAATTGAAGTCCATGGCGCGAGGGCATTCTAGATCCATATTAGTAAGGAAGCAGAATGCAGTGAGAAGGAACATGAAGCGATTGCGGTTGGAGATGGAGGAGATTGATTAAGAATATTTTATGTGTTAATTCATTAAGAATATTTTATTTATTATCAATTTTAATACTTTAATTATCATAATATCTTAATTTTCCTCAATTCCATAAATAAATTTTGTAAAAAAAATTAAGTAATTTGTTACCTTTAATATATTTTTTGAGTAAAATTTTTTTACCTTTACTCACTACCACAAAAGTAAAAATTATAAATGTAAATAAAAACTAAATTGATTTTCTAGGGACATGAGTGAAAATTATGTGAGATTTATATGATTGTGTGATTTTAGTCAAATTAACTGTAAATAGATTTATATTAGAAATTGTGGAAAATCAAAATGTTTTTTCAATTAAGGTTTAGTTTGACAGAAATGGCTAATAGTTACAGTTATAGATTTCGTGGTTTTTTAATGTCCTAAAAATATATAAAATATATTTATATATTT